CAGAATTGCTCCCCCTCAAAGCCTGAATACTCTTATTCTTGTTCTCTTTTCTCCCCCTCAACACATGCAACGCACACCACACACACACTCTTTTTATTCAGACCAGTGAGACATACACAATTACAAAGGCTCGAGGTTCAACATGCCCAACTTGGATACTAGGAACTGGAATCTCTTCTCATCCAGTGCCTTAGTGAACAAGTCAGTCAGTTGAAACTCAGTGCTTACAAAGTACACGTCAATATCTCCTTTCTCCACATGGTCCTTGATGAAGTGATAACGCAGGTCAATGTGTTTGGTGCGCGAGTGATGAACAAGGTTGCTGGTTATGGCTATTGCACTTTGGGAGTCACTGTAGATCGGAATGTGATTGAACAAAAAGCCATAGTCTCTGAGTTGCGTCCTCATCCATAGGATTTGTGAGCAACAACTAGCAGCCGCAACGTATTCTGCTTCAGCTGTAGAGGTTGACACACAGTTCTGCTTCTTGGAGGACCAGCATACCAGCTTCTCTCCCAGAAATTGAGCACTACCGGATGTACTTTTCCTGTCTAACTTGCAACCCGCAAAATCAGCATCTGAGTATCCGACAAGGTCAAAACCTGTTTCCTTAGGATACCAAAGACCCAAGTTGACTGTTCCTTTGAGGTATCTTAGGATTCTCTTCACTGCATTCAGATGTGATTCCTTTGGATTTGCTTGAAAGCGAGCGCATAGGCAGGTTGCAATGACAATATCCGGTCTACTAGATGTCAGGTACAGCAAGGAACCTATGATAGCCCGATAGTTGGTAGCATCGACTGATATCCCGGACGGGTCAGAGTCGAGCTTTTGTGTGGGGGACATAAGGGTTTTCATGGTTGACTTGCTGTCCATTTTGAATCTTTTGAGCATTTCATGGATGTACTTTGACTGGATGATGAAGATTCCTTCTGGCATTTGCTTGATCTGAAGCCCTAGAAAGAAATTCAACTCTCCCATCATACTCATTTCGAACTCAGTGCGCATCAAGTTGCTGAATTCTTCGCAGAAGTTCGGATTTGATGATGCGAATATGATGTCATCCACATAGATTTGTATCAGCATGATGTCACTGTTCTCTCGCTTGATGAAAAGAGTTGGATCTATCTTTCCCTTCGAGTAGCCTGATTGCACAAGGAAGTCAGATAGTGCATCATATCAGGCTCTCGGTGCCTGTTTTAGTCCATACAGGGCTTTCTTCAGTTTGTAGACATAATGTGGGTGTTCAGGATCAACAAACCCTTCAGGTTTTACCACATAAACTTCTTCTTTCAGTTCTCCATTCAGAAATGCAGTCTTCACATCCATTTGATAGACAGTGAAGCTTTTATGAGCAGCATAAGCAAGGAACAACCTGATTGCTTCAATTCTAGCCACTGGTGCAAAGGTTTCATCATAGTCAATTCCTTCTTGTTGATTGTATCCTTTTGCAACCAGTCGGGCTTTGTTCCTTATGATTACACCGTCTTCGTCCTTCTTATTCTTGAAAACCCACTTGGGGCCGATGATGGTCTTCTTCGGGGGTCTAGGCACCAAGGACCACATGTCTAGTCGTTCAAACTGGTTAATTTCTTCCTGCATTGCAATTACCCAATCAGGATCTGCCAGGGCTTCTGTAACTTTAGATGGCTCACATTGGCTAATGAAGCAGGAGAAGAGACATTCATTTGTTGTAGCTGTTCTTGTGCATACTCCACGACTCGGATCCCCAATAATTTGTTCTGCAGGATGCGCCTTTGTCAACTTCCGCTCATGTGTTAGAGGGATTGGAGTTATGATGGGGTGATCCGGGTCCTCAAAAGTAGTAGATGTAGTCTGTTGAGGAGTGGAGTGCAATGTGATTGATTCTGGTTCTGTTGTTGCTTGAGCTGGTATTTCTGGAACTTGTGCTAGTGAAATTGCTTGTGTTGCTGTTGTGCCATGATTCTCAATATCCTCTAGATCAGATGTAGGAGGTGAATCAGCTTCTTCTTCTTCTTCTTCTTCAGTGAGGTTAGGCATGAATGGTAACTGTACAACATCTATTGATTGTTGTGTGCTGGCGGTGCGTGGATTCTCATAGAAATGTTCAAACAGGGAGTCTAGTACTGCACGCTCAGCCGTTGTCTGCATTGTTGCTTCAGCTCCATCAGGTTGCTTTCCATTGACAGAGGGAGTGGGTTCTATCAAGAAATGTTCAGAAGCAAAGTCAGCCATTTCATAGAATGCTACATTGACACTCTCAATGACTGTTCTGCGTTCACGTAAGTAGACCCGATATGCCTTTGGTTGCATAGAGTACCCAATGAATACTCCTTCGATAGCTTTCGGATCCATCTTGCTTCTTTCATTTCTGTCATTTAGAACAAAACACTTGCAGCCAAACACTCTGAAGAATGAGATGTCCGGAGTTCTGCTGAAGAGGATTTCATATGGTGTCTTGTTGAAGCGCTTGTGGATTGATGTTCTGTTCTGAGTAAAGCACGCAGTGTTGATTGCTTCAGCCCACATGAAATGGGGAAGCTTTGATTGAATGAGCATGGTGCGTGCTGCTTCAACAAGTGTTCTGTTCTTTCTTTCAACGACTCCATTCTGTTGTGGCGTTTTTGCTGCAGAGAATTGCTAAATGATACCCTGAGTTGCATAGAAATCAGCAAGGGACTGATTCTTGAACTCAGTGCCATTATCTGTTCTGATGATTTCCACACTCTTCTGCAGAAAGTTCTGAATTGTCCTGATGAAGGTTATGATGGTATCTGTTGTCTCATCCTTTGTCCTCAGAAATTTGGTCCATGTATACCGAGAGAATTCGTCCACAATGACAAGTGTGTATTTGCGTCCATTAATGCTTTGGACTCTCATCGGTCCACATAGATCCATGTGAAGTAATTGCAGCAGTGGAGAGGAGGATGGAACAAGTTTCAACTTGTGAGAGCTCCTTTTCATTTTGCCTAGTCTGCAGGCATCACAATGATTGTCAGCGGAAGTCTTCAAAGGAGGCAGCCCTTTCACAAGTTTCTTGGAGGATAGAGTGGTGAGATATTTGAAGTTGAGGTGAGACAAGCGTCTGTGCCATAGACTGTTTTGTTCAGAGGAAGCTTTGGACAGTAGGCAATTGGAAGAAGTTGATTGAACACTCTTTAGATCAATGGTGTACAGGTTGGAAGTTCTCGTGCATGTCAATAATGTCTTTCCAAACCTGTCCAGCACACATCATTGTCTGGCTATGAACTTCACTTCCATGCCACTATCACAGAACTGTCCAATGCTTAGCAGATTATGTTTCAGTCCTTTCACGTATGACACAGCCTTTATGGTGACGCTTGCACAGATGACATCCCCATATCCTAGGATTGGAGACGCCGCGTTGTTTCCAAATCTCACATTTCCTCCGTAGCACTTTGTGTAGTTGCTCAGCAGCTGTTTTATTCCGGTCATGTGGGTTGAGCAGCCAGAATCTAAATGCCACACATGACCGTCCTGCAAAACAGATTAAGGACTTTTAGGTACCCACCTCAGGATGGGTCCTTCCTTATCAATTGAGAATATCTTTTTAAGTTTTTCCTTCAGCTGTGATCCAAGGTCAGCAGCCTTTTCAGACAATGTTCTTTGTTTTTCAAGTTCTGATTTTGGTAACTGATAGACAATTTAATAGTCCTCGCAAGTGCATGAGTCACAGTAGTATAGTGCACAAGTAAGGGTCGAATCCACGGGGAAAATGTAACCAAGTAATTGGAAAACTATTAATAAAAAATGGAAGTGAAATAAACTTAACTAAAAAAAATGAGTTTTTGAATTTGTTTGATTTAAAACTGAAAAGTAAGGCTTGAGTTAAAATATATGGATGCAAGGAATTTGAAAGATTAAAACAACTAAAAATTGAATAGCAGAAAATGATCGAGAATTCAGCAAGGGAAAAGATAGTCCGGGATTATGAATCAGTCACTAATCTTTAGTATTTGCGATTTAGTTAGTCAATTAAAATTGAGGGTTCGTTCTAGACGAAAATATGACTTTTCCGTATGGCGTCCAGAATAAGTCACGTACCTTAACTATTAATCAATAAAAAAAATTATTAATTTAATAGTTAAAATCCATTAAACACAAAAGAACTACGGAAACCCGATTTAAGAACCAAATAGATAATCTAACAAGACAGTAAAATTATCTATTCTTTTATCCAAAAGAGCTCGAACTAATAGGCATGGCATGTACTCTATTAGTCCACTCAAACAACTTAATTAATTATATTAAAGTTGGCCAAAAATTAACACAATCAATTAGATGAATAAGAACAATGGATAAAACTCAACCAATTGACATAACTAAAATCACAATTCATACTAAATCATAGCAACTTCATCATAATCCAGACTTAAGGAATTTAGCTACTCATATCAAAACTGGCTGAGAGTAAAACAACAATAATAAAAGAGTTCATCTTGAACATTTAACAATCAACAAAATAACGAGTACTGACAATTCCCAAATAACTAAACCAAAGCAAGTTTGTTATCAAGAAAAGTAACGTACAAATCAAGATCAAAAGAGAATATTGCTGAATCAAACCAGAATTTTTCAAGCACTAACTAATTCCTTCCTCCAGAAAGTTGCAGCCTGAAGTTCAATGGGTCATCTCCCAGGTTGCAGCCCTTCCTCCTCGCAATCCTCCCCTTAAAACCCTTGTTATTGCGGTTTTTATATCCCCGAATTACAGTCAGTTCCAACCCTTAACTCCTGATTTTTCGGTGCCGTTCGAGAGTAGGAACCGCAATTCGTGGAGCCGTTTTGAATTGATGATTCAAAGAACCCCCAAATCTACCTCCTTTCCTTCTGCTCCTTGGACTCTTTTTCTTCATTTTTGTTAGAGCCGTTCTTGGACTTTGCTGGGCTGTTTTCTGTTTTTCCAATTTTCCTTATCAGTCAAAATAAAAGAGTTACTCTCCTTTAATTTTGTTCTCGAGCCTAGTTTACTCTCACAGAAATTATGTGAAAGCTTCCAAATTTGAACTGGCCCATTCTTGAATTTGGAAATAACATCTCTTCAATGAGCCCCAATGAGCCCAATTGCTTCATTTAAATTTCTCACCTGTAAAAATCAATTTTAAGATAAAAGTAAGATTAAAACCTCTCAATTAGGCAAATAATAAGTATAGAATTGTGATAAAAATTAATCACAAATTCTAACTTATCAAACTCCCCCACACTTGCATTTTGCTTGTCCTCAAGGAAAATTAAGATCAAGAAACCAAATTCAACAACAAGTGTTCAAACTCCCCTTTCACTCACCAGGCATACTAACATTCCCCTCCATGACAAAACATCCCCAAAAAATTTGAATCAAGTATCCACCACAATGCCAACTCCAAAGTCAAAATCTAGACTCATATGTCATTAATAGAGATGTATTTTACAATTCTAAATGACCTAGTGAGACACTCAAGTAACTCTCACAGAAATTATGTGAAGTCCTAAGCCAATTAGTCAACACTCTATAGTCATCTTATGCTCTTCCCTCCACCTTATCAAAGCACAAACTTGATCAAGATCACTTAGGACTTTTATTCGGGTTGTAATGTGGTCATGGGTAATGGGTTAATGAGAGAAAGGAAATGGGAATTCAAACAAAGGAGGAGACATTTTCTATACCAAATTGATCCTAGGAAGAGTTCAATAAATGACAAAGGGAGCAACTAAACTACTACAAAAATCAAACCGGCTTCTTAGATAAAGGGATACAAATAGGAAGCTCAAAGAATACAACTTCAACTCACTTCTTTCTTCTTTACTTTTTCACTTTTCAACTTTTCAGTTTTTTTTTTTTTTTGACTTTTTTCTTCTTCTTTTTTTTTTCTATTTTTTTTTTGGACTTTTCAAACCTTCAATTCACTCACTGCTCACAAGAATCAGCACCAACAACATTGAATCTATACAAACTGCCGGGGATAACAAAGAAAAATGCTCCAAAAAGATAAACTCTTTTAAGTCACAATTTAAGTATAAGAAAATGTCAACTCAAGGGTGTGGGATACATTTTGGCTATTTGGGCTCGGGTCATCATTGATGGGTAATTAGAAAGAATTACTAGTCAAAAGCACGTTAGAATGCTTTAAGACATATTAGGCTCAAAGGGGTAGCAAGCGAAAATACAAATAAACAAAAGGGTAGGCTTAAAGGTTTGGGGCTATGAAAAATGGCCTAGATCATATCTGAATCAGTTTGCACAATAACTTAGCTTCCAAAAGAGCAACAAGACAAGTTCTATTATGCTAACTAAAAGACAAAGGATTCACACTTTCTAAGAACGTTAGAGATGCATCCTAAGAGGTCATAAAGAATTGAAAAATACATCAATGTTAATGACACGAGAAGCTAAGAAATTGACTCCAAGTAAAACAATGTGAAGGACTCAATCAAATTCAAGAGGAACCTAGCATGGAACCAACCAATCAGACCACATACCACTGAAAGGGAACTTTTCACAACTTGAAGCCAAAAAAGTTATCCTGAAATTAAATTCTCCTCAACTCCAAGCAAGGAAAACATTTTTTTTTTAAAAGCAGTTTTCTGTTTTTTTTTTTTTGGTGATTCTGAAACTAAAATAGAACTAAAAAGTGACTGTTACTCCTCCCCCACACCTATCTCAAACATTGTCCTCAATGGAGAAATAATAAAAAGACAAAGGAAAAGAAATACTCCCTGAAAGCGCTTCAAACTAAAACTTTAACAACTTGAGAAGTAACCTGCAAAACTAAGAAACAAAGAAAGAAAAGAAAAGAATGGGGAAGGGGGAAACAGAATAAAAGTTTTTTTTTTTAGAAACTGTGACTAGACACAACATGAGCAACGGTATTCCCGAAGCTCAAGACACTCAACTTGCTCGACTACATCTTCACTTTTCAAATATCGCTTCACTCGTTGACCGTTCACCTTAAAAACATTCCCAGATTTCGGATTTTCAAGTTCAATTGCACCATGGGAAAAAACTTGGCGAATCAAAAACGGTCCAGTCCACCTAGATTTTAACTTCCCTGGAAAAAGCCTCAAACGAGAGTCATATAACAACACCTCCATTCCAGGTTTAAAATCTCTCCTCAAAATGGATTTATCATGAAAAAGTTTAGTGCGTTCTTTATAAATTTTCGCACTCTCGTATGCATCATTCCTAATCTCATCCAGCTCATTCAAATGCAATTTTCTCAAGTCACCCACTTCTTTAAGATCAAAATTTAGCGCCTTGATAGCCCAGTAGGCTCGGTGTTCCAACTCTACAGGCAAATGACAAGGTTTACCAAAAACTAACCTGTACGGGCTCATTCCAATTGGGGTTTTGTAGGCTGTCCGGTAAGCCCACAATGCATCGTTCAGCCTATTAGCCCAATCCTTACGTGAAGGATTCACGGTTTTTTCCAGAATACCTTTAATCTGTCTGTTACTCACCTCAACTTGCCCCGAAGTCTGTGGATGGTAAGGTGTTGCAACCCGGTGCGTAACACCATACTTTTTCAGCAATCCTGCAAAAAACTTGTTACAAAAGTGGCTGCCACCATCACTAATGATAGCCCTTGGTGTCCCAAACCTAGCAAAAATTACCTCCTTCAAAAAATTCAGCACCACTCGACTATCATTAGTTCTAGTGGCAATAGCTTCAATCCATTTAGACACGTAATCAACTGCAACCAGAATATAATTAAACCCAAAAGAAGTAGGAAATGGGCCCATAAAATCAATACCCCAAACGTCAAACAAGTCAACAACCAAATTATTCGTAAGAGGCATCTCATGACGTTTGCTAATATTCCCTAATCTCTGACAACGATCACATTTAGCACAGAAAGAAATTGCATCTTTAAAGAGAGTAGGCCAATAAAAACCAGATTGCAAGACTTTAAATGCAGTTTTTTTTCCACTAAAATGCCCACCACAATTCAAAGTATGACTATGATGCAAAACACTTTCTTGTTCATGTTCAGGAATGCAACGCCTAATGGTCTGATCAGGGCAGATTTTAAACAAGTAAGGTTCATCCCAGAAATAATATTTCACTTTGGAGAGAAAATGTTTTCTACCCTGTGAATTTAAATCGGGATGAAACTTACCGGTAACTAAATAATTAACAAGATCAGCATACCATGGCTCTTTACTCATCACAGAAAACAAACCTTCATCGGGAAACCTGTCATTAAGAGGTATCTCCAGATCCTTCCCAGAATGTATAATCTGATCGGGGAGGCGTGATAAATGATCAGCCACCACGTTCTCGCTTCCTTTCTTGTCCCTGATAGACAAATCAAACTCTTGCAACAATAAAATCCACCTAATCAACCTAGGTTTAGCATCCTTTTTCAGCAACAAATATTTCAAAGCAGCATGGTCAGAATAAACAATCACCTTAGATCCAATCAAATAAGACCTGAACTTTTCTAATGCAAAGACAACTGCTAACAATTCTTTTTCAGTTGTAGAGTAGTTAATCTGTGCATCATCTAAAGTTCGACTGGCATAATAAATGACATAAGGCAGCTTGTCAATTCTTTGACCCAAAACAGCACCGATTGCAAAATCGGAGGCATCACACATAATCTCAAACGGATAAGACCAGTTCGGGGCAGCAAGTATTGGGGCAGAAGTTAATTTTTCTTTCAGCACATTAAAAGCAACAAGACATTCATCATCAAAACTGAAATTCGCATCCTTAGCTAACAGATTACATAGAGGTTTACAAATCTTAGAAAAATCTTTAATAAACCTTCTATAAAAACCTGCATGACCCAGGAAACTACGCACCCCTCTAACGGAAGTAGGGGGTGGCAGTTTAGCGATCACATCAATTTTAGCCCTATCTACTTCAATCCCCCGATTAGAAATCACATGCCCCAAAACGATCCCTTCTTTAACCACAAAATTACACTTCTCCCAACTAAGAGTCAAATTCATTTGAACACATCTTTCAAGAACTAGCGACAGATTATGCAAACACTGATCAAAAGAGTCGCCAAACAAGGAAAAATCATCCATAAAAACCTCAACAAACTTTTCAATCATATCAGAAAAAATAGACATCATACACCGCTGAAAAGTACCAGGAGCATTACACAATCCAAAAGACATTCTACGAAAAGCAAAAGTGCCAAATGGACATGTAAAAGTAGTTTTTTCCTGGTCCTCGGGAGCAACCGGAATCTGATTGTAACCTTGAAAACCGTCAAGAAAGCAATAGAACGCATGACCAGCCAAGCGCTCTAACATTTGGTCAATAAAAGGCAAAGGGAAATGGTCTTTTTTAGTGGCAGCATTTAATTTTCTATAATCAACACACATTCGCCACCCTGTGGTAACCCGTGTGGGTACCAACTCATTTTTCTCATTACTCACAACAGTAATCCCAGACTTTTTAGGCACAACTTGCACAGGACTAACCCATTTACTGTCAGAAATAGGAAAGATAATACCTGCATCGAGCAACTTTAGAACTTCCACACGCACTACCTCTTTCATGTTCGGATTCAGCCTCCGTTGAGGTTGCCTACATGGAGTAACACCTTCTTCCAACAAGATTTTATGCATACAAACCGTTGGGCTAATTCCTTTCAAATCAGAAATCGCCCAACCAAACGCAGCTTTAAACTTCCTCAGCACCTTAAGCAACTGCTCTTCTTGTTCCTGTGTCAGGTCAGAAGCAATAATAACAGGCAAAGTACTATCACACCCTAAAAACACATATTTCAGATTCGAGGGGAGGGGTTTCAGTTGCACTTGAGGTGGGTTTTCAACATGCTGATTTTTTTCCAGAACACAATCAGCTACTATTTCCTCACTTTGCACCTCAGTTTTGTCCAGAATATCCCTCCTCTCGCTCACTTTTTCATCATCAAACTCTTGCACATCAAGAGTTAAAGCAAACTCAAGCTCATCCTCTTGTAACACACTCAAAGGAACAATAGAATCAAGCATATCAAGTGCAAAACATGAATCAGAATCAGCCGGCATATTCATGAATTTCAAAATGGAAAATTCAACAGTTTCATCAAGCACACTCATAGTTAATTTTCCATTTTGAACATCAATCATAGTTTTAGCCGTTGCCATAAAAGGTCTACTAAGTAAGATTGGCATATCTTTCACATTTTGCACTGATCACTCATATCTAAAACCACAAAATCAGCGGGAATAATAAGCTTATCAACTTGAACTAAAACGTCCTCTACAATGCCCCTAGGGTATCTTATAGAGCGGTCAGCAAGCTGCAGGGACATTGTAGTGGTTTTTAGCTCATTCAAACCTAATTTCAAATAAACAGAATAAGGCATTAAATTAATACTCGCCCCCAAATCAAGCATAGCTTTTTCAGTTCTAGAATTCCCTAAATTAATGGTGATAATAAAGCTGCCAGGGTCTTCTAATTTTGGGGGCAAGTCCTTTTGTAAAACAGCACTCACAGCCTTAGAAACAAAAATCTTTTCATTCGGCTCATACCTACGCCTTCTAGTGTTTAATTCTTTCAAAAATTTAGCGTAGGCGGGCATATTAGTTATCATTTCAAGAAGAGGCAGATTAACATTAACTTTGGACAGCAAATCATAAATCTCATCAAAAGATTTGTCAAACTTGGAACTTTTTAACCTGTTTGGAAAAGGAACCGGCGGCACATATGGTTTAGGCGGAATATACGGATCTTTTGCTTTGTGCAGCCCGGACTCTTCGTACACCGAATCAGCCTCCACTTCTTTCTTCTTTTCAGCTTCTACTTCTTGCTTCTTCTCAGCCTCTACCTTCTCCGGTAGCTTGGGAACAGGCTGCTCTTCGTTTTTCTGAATTACCTTCCCACTTCTAAGAACCGTGACAGCTTTGGCCTCTTCAGATTGACTCGGTAGCTTTCCTTGCACGTGTCCTTGGAGAGATTCTGCAATCTGACCAACTTGTACTTCTAGCTTCCTCAAAGAGGCATCAGTGCGCTGAAAACGCTGCTCGTTAACTTGCTGGTTGTTGCTGCAGATTTGCATAAAATTCTGCAAAGTATCCTCCAAAGAAGGCTTCTTGGGTTCAACAGTTGGCTGGTTCCCTTGTTGCGCGTTAGACCATGAGAAGTTCGGATGATTCCTCCAACCGGGGTTGTAGGAATTGGAGAAGGGATCGTTCCTTGACCTCTGATTGTATGAATTCATCATATTAGCTTGTTCAAGACTAGCCTCGGGCATTTCATTCACTGCAGCGGCAGATTGATTCATCGCCATCATGGAACACATATTCTTCATTTGCTTGGATAGCTCGGATATTTGGATGGCCAGTTCTGTACTCACACCAACTTCGTACATCCCTTGAGTCTTCCCACGAACGCTCTTCTGCTGGGAATTAGCTCCAAGCATCTCATATAACGCTAGGGTCTGTTCAGCAGTCTTCTCCCCCATTGCTCCTCCAGCTGCGTTGTCAACGATTGCTTGGCTTCCTTGGGTCAAACCGTCATAGAATGTTTGATTTTGGAGCGCCAGGGAATAACCGTGGTGAGGGCACTGTGTGAGCAGCATCTTGAATCTCTCCCACGCCTCATGGAATGGCTCACCTTCAGCCTGCGTGAAATTGGCTATTTTTCTTCTTAATTCTGAAGTTTTGGACTGAGAATAGTACTTGCCGATGAACTTGTTGTATACATCAGCCCACGTGCGCAACGATCCTGGTGTTAAAGACATAAACCATGTCTTTGCAGCATCTTTAAGAGTGTATGGAAAACACCTCATCCTCAGCTCATCTTCTGTCACGCCTTGCAATGGAAAATTCTGAACAATGCCATAGAAGTCTCGAATAAAAATCAACGCATCCTGAGAAGAAAGCCCATAGAAAGATGGCAACTGATTAAAGTGAACGGTCTTCAAATCATAATTGCGGGCAGCTTCACTCAATACAATGCAGGACGGGGAGGCACCTACAGTTGGTCTCCCAAACTCTTTCATCAATTGTGCATCACCCATTTTTGGATTAGCAGCAAATTGGAGCCTCCTTTTTATCCTTTTGCCAATTAAATCTACTTGATCGTTCAGCGGAATCAAATCTGGATTAAGTGACCTGCGACCAAGCATACAACAAAAACAAAACAAAAAAAACAAAAAAAAAACAAGCACAACTAACTAAAATAAAACTAAATTAAATTTTTTCCAAAAACTAGTTAAACAAATTCCCCGGCAACGGCACCAAAAATTGATAGACAATTTAATAGTCCTCGCAAGTGCACGAGTCACAGTAGTATAGTGCACAAGTAAGGGTCGAATCCACGGGGAAAATGTAACCAAGTAATTGGAAAACTATTAATAAAAAATGGAAGTGAAATAAACTTAACTAAAAAAAATGAGTTTTTGAATTTGTTTGATTTAAAACTGAAAAGTAAGGCTTGAGTTAAAATATATGGATGCAAGGAATTTGAAAGATTAAAACAACTAAAAATTGAATAGCAGAAAATGATCGAGAATTCAGCAAGGGAAAAGATAGTCCGGGATTATGAATCAGTCACTAATCTTTAGTATTTGCGATTTAGTTAGTCAATTAAAATTGAGGGTTCGTTCTAGACGAAAATATGACTTTTCCGTATGGCGTCCATAATAAGTCACGTATCTTAACTATTAATCAATAAAAAAAAGGAAAAATTGAAAATAATAATCCCAACTATTGCCGGTCCGCCGATAATAATCCCAACTATTGATTATTTTTGTATAATCCCAACTATATGGACCGTCCGCCAATAATGGTCCGTGACCAAATATTACCTACTATAAAAAGTGAATTTTAAATAGAAATTAAGCGTAAAAATTAAAAGTTGGGATTATTTATAGGGATTACTTGTTATATCTCTTGTCATCCACTTTAGAAACTGCAACAATTTATTGATAGGGACCATTATTGGCGGAAGGTCCCTAAAGTTGGGATTATTCTGAAATAATCGATAGTTGGGATTATTATAGGCGGACCGCCAATAGTTGGGATTATTACTATCAATTTTTCCTAAAAAAAATTATTAATTTAATAGTTAAAATCCATTAAACACGAAAGAACTACGGAAACCCGATTTAAGAACCAAATAGATAATCTAACAAGACAGTAAAATTATCTATTCTTTTATCCAAAAGAGCTCGAACTAATAGGCATGACATGTACTCTATTAGTCCACTCAAACAACTTAATTAATTATATTAAAGTTGGCCAAAAATTAACACAATCAATTAGATGAATAAGAACAATGGATAAAACTCAACCAATTGACATAACTAAAATCACAATTCATACTAAATCATAGCAACTTCATCATAATCCGGACTTAAGGAATTTAGCTACTCATATCAAAACTGGCTGAGAGTAAAACAACAATAATAAAAGAGTTCATCTTGAACATTTAACAATCAACAAAATAACGAGTACTGACAATTCTCAAATAACTAAACCAAAGCAAGTTTGTTATCAAGAAAAGTAACGTACAAATCAAGATCAAAAGAGAATATTGCTGAATCAAACCAGAATTTTTCAAGCACTAACTAATTCCTTCCTCCAGAAAGTTGCAGCCTGAAGTTCAATGGGTCATCTCCCAGGTTGCAGCCCTTCCTCCTCGCAATCCTCCCCTTAAAACCCTTGCTATTGCGGTTTTTATATCCCCGAATTACAGTCAGTTCCAACCCTTAACTCCTGATTTTTCGGTGCCGTTTGAGAGTAGGAACCGCAATTCGTGGAGCCGTTTCGAATTGATGATTCAAAGAACCCCCAAATCTACCTCCTTTCCTTCTGCTCCTTGGACTCTTTTTCTTCATTTTTGTTAGAGCCGTTCTTGGACTTTGCTGGGCTGTTTTCTGTTTTTCCAATTTTCCTTATCAGTCAAAATAAAAGAGTTACTCTCCTTTAATTTTGTTCTCGAGCCTAGTTTACTCTCACAGAAATTATGTGAAAGCTTCCAAATTTGAACTGGCCCATTCTTGAATTTGGAAATAACATCTCTTCAATGAGCCCCAATGAGCCCAATTGCTTCATTTAAATTTCTCACCTGTAAAAATCAATTTTAAGATAAAAGTAAGATTAAAACCTCTCAATTAGGCAAATAATAAGTATAGAATTGTGATAAAAATTAATCACAAATTCTAACTTATCAGTACCCATTGTTGTTTGATTTTAGGAGTAGAGGAGACAGGGTCATTGTTTCTGTGTGTGAATGGCTGGTTCGTGAGATAAGGTTTGAAAATTGCTTCCTTAGAGATTCGTTGTAAGTGTTTCTTTGAATGAACTTTAAGAGGATATTTTAATTTGGAAAATTATAAATACCCTCTACAGCTCTATTCTCAGATTGTTTCTTTTGTTTGCGCTCTCTCTATTTTTTCTCTCACGAACAGAATTCACAACACATTCATAATCAGAATCATTAGAGCAAGCATTTCCTAACCCAGGAGCATACAACTTTTCATTGAAATAAAACGGATCAGAAGTAAATTCAGAATGATTCAGTTTGGGACTCAAGACTGAACTAGAACTACAAGGTTGTGACATAGAACTAGATCTACATTTATTTGAATAGAAAACAGCACTAGAACAGGACTTCTTATTCTCAGAAAACATCTTCTTCTTCCCTTCAGCAATCTCATCTCTCTTCAACTTCCACTCTCTTCTCCTCTCCAATCTCCTACTTATTTCTCTTCCTGTTTTCAAAGGAGATTTGGAGTGAGTGGATGTCTTTTAAAAAAATTTAGATTTGTTCAGAATTGGTTGAGAAGTATCAGTATCACTAGATGAATGAGAAGTTGTGCCAGATTGGGAACTTTCTTTTAAAATGGTCAATTCTCTCAACAGCCTCTCCCTCTCACTTTCAAAACTTTTTCTTTCTTCTTCAAAACTTTTTCTTTGGTTTTCTAAAGAAATGTGCAAGTTTTCAAATTTTCTGATTAGTGGAGGGATATAGGGTTCTTCTCCACCTGACTGTGAGGTTGAGGGGGGTTCTGGATCCGACACAACTTCCTTCTCAGAAGGATAGGGACTAGTACTCTCATCAGTTGAAAAAACAGGTTTTACAGTTTCATAGCTTTTGTTCAAAGATTCATAATTGAAAGGGATTTCTGCTCTAGAAGGGTTTGATCGCTTTACCTCTTCTTCTTCTTCTGCGGTCTCCTTTCCATAGGTAAAAGCCATCAACTTAGTCAATCCTAACCCCATATAATTTATGTCATAAAGTTGAATACAATCCACTTTCTTCAAATTATTGGGGTTAGTAAGACCAAGACCCTCCTTAGAGTTATAAAAGCGAGTGTCTTTGTTCTGATTGAGAAAAATGGTTTGTTCTGTCTGTCCTCTCTTGGCAAGTAGATCTTCTAATTCTTTGATTTTCGTGTAAAAAGTACATCTCTTTTCATGTAGAAAATCGTTTTCGGCTTTTGCAACGTTTCGTTCTAATTCAGTGTCACTTACCTTTTTAGTCAGTTCAGCTACCTTTTGTGTGAGCTGTTCTATTTCCAAAGTTCGCTTCTTAACAATTTCCTTTGCATTATCTAATTGTATGCTCAGGGATCTGACTTTATCTAGACTGTCAATTAGGAATTTATGGTTGATGTTTCCCTTGTCTCTTAACTCCTTAATTAGATTGTCCTTCTCTCGTGAAGAGTGAACTGTACAAGAGCAGGAACAATAGGGTTTAGAGGTACTTACAGTGGTGTTTGAGCTTGAGCTTGAACTTGCTCCGGGGATCGCAGCATCACCCTTTTCTTCTTCCTTTTCAACAAACGCCATCAGGGCCAAGTTCTCTTCTTCTTCATCATCAGAACTCTCCTCCTGCCATGGATCATTCTAAGTGAGTGTTGCAGCACCATCATCATCTTGCTTAGCCATGAACATCTTCTGCTTGTTCCACAGCATCTTGTGCTTGTAATAGTTGAAGTCCCTTTTCCTTGGTAGGCGACAGTCCTTGATGACGTGTCCAGCCTTTCCACAGTTGAAGCATTTGGGAGGGTCTTCTGCTGCAACAGCTCTACTGGAAGAGTTCTGATCATTGTTCTTTGTTCTGTAATTGGCAGAGGAGGTTCGCAGTTTGTTGGATGAGTTTCCCTTCTTTGAAAATTTCTTGTTGAACTGATTGGTGAGAAAAGCCATCTTTTTCTGCAGATCAGCCAACTCAGATTCAACATCCACTTCTTCTTCACTTTCCTCTTCTTCAGACTCCATCTTAACTGCCTTCTTCTTCTTTTGAACCTTAGATGAACTCTTTGGTTTAGCTTCTATCATGAGTGCTAAAGGATTAGCAGAAAAGTTTCCTTCCATCTCAGCAGTGTCATTCACAAACTGTTGGAGATGCTCATGAAGTGTACAGACACTACAACAATAATTCGTTTTTATAGCACAATATTATAGCATATTTTGTTATAGAAAAGAGCTAGTGCTGATCCATCAACTGTATCAAGGGTTAAAGTTTGGATCAAAGGTCACACTAAAAAGGATGGTACAGCAGTGAATTCAACTGTTGGTGAAACCATTGTAAAGACATTTCTATGGATATTCTAAGTTCTTTCTATATCTTTCGTTCTTAAGCATTAAAAATAAATCACCTTTGTATTTCAGGATAAGCTGAAAGAAATTGAAAGTGATACGCCTTCATCCTCATCAACTAATATAAGAGAAGATGCTCTTTCTCAAGTATTGGGAAAAGATAAACGTGGACAACTGAGAGGAATGGGAAGGGGAGCTACTATAAGTAAAATATCTTTTTTACAAGCAAGAGATAAGCACGTGGTTCAACTAAAAGAGGAAAATGTTGAGTTTCGAAGTAGGATACAACACTTGGAGAATCTCGTCCAAAAATTAGTTGCAGTCCATGGGAATGAGGAAGCTGATCATGATCCTGGAGTTGATAAGACAAGTCATTTGGTATACTAGTCAATTATTAAATTTTAAAGTTAGAGATAATACTATGTTTAAAGTTTTTCTACTAACTATAAGTCGTGGTACATTGTAGGGCATGCGTCCTAAACTCCATGGTAAGTGCAACCTTTTAGATTGGTGTGGAAAAGATGAGGTTGTAGCTGAAGGACACTTGTGCTCTAGTAACCCAAAAGGGCTTGTTAATAATGCTCCTCTTGGACCTAATGCAATGGAAGTGATGGTCGACATAACAAATATACCAGATGCTTTTCTTTGGAGACCTACATCTAATATGTTATGCATGAAACAAGCTGTTGGTAAGACAATTGCATGGCCAGCTGATAAGGTGGTGAGGCAGATTACTCAAAATTCTGAAAATGAAGATAATACCTCCCTAAATATGGTAAAAACTGCATTTTTATATATTTCTATTGCATATCTCATGGATATGACATTTATAATAAAACAGTTCTTATGTCTTCATTTATTGGTAGGATACAAATATTAGCCATATCAGGTGTAAGATATTCAATTGGACTGGAAAAGATGAAATTGTTGCTCAAGGTCATTGGATTTCTAGTGATCCAAAAATGATTGTTAACGGTATTCCACTCGGACCTAAAGCCATGATTGTTTGGATTGATGACATTATAAGTCCTGAATGTTTTTTGTGGAGACCTACACTAGACATGACATCCATCAAAGATGTTAGGGGAACCAAAATAGCATGGCCTAGTGATAAGGTTGTATTAGAAAATATCTCTAATCACAATTTGCAGTCTGCAAACAAATCATCATCTTCTCAGGTACTTATATTTGTTTATTAGCATTAATTTATATTTGACTATATATTTTATTTTCTATTGTTAATGTTATTGTTTTCAGAGTATAAGCAATTCAAAGAAAAAGTGCAACTTGTTAGATATCAGTGGCTCAGGAAAGATTGTTGCTGAAGGACATTGGTCATCAAGTGATCCAAATCAACTTGTTCACTTTGTCCCTTTAGGTCCTAATGCAATGAGGGTGTGGGTTGATATGCCTAAGATCCCTGATGCAGTTCTTTGGAGGCCAACATCTTAGTTGGAGTGTATTGAAGATGCGGTTGGTACTACAATAGCTTGGCCATCAAACAAAGTTGTTATGCTTTAATATGCTGGTAAGTATTTTTATTTGGCCACAACAAGTGAAGAATAATTGGCTACTTTGAAATCTATATTTGTTAAGGGCTGAAATCATGAATTGATGTGACCAGAGTTGTAATGATTAAAATACAAAACTAATTGATAAAAATGGTTAAAGGTTGAAACATAGTTCCAATTAATATTGTAGTATATAAGACTGTTGAAATATCATTTGTTAAATGGCCAGTTGAAATATCCTGGATTTAGATGATGTTGAGTAGTGCTGTGGAGTTTTTATAGAATATTCCACATGGGTGCATAACAAACCAATTGACACTCCAGTAGTTGTCCACAAAAGTACTGCTGTGGAGCTTGTAATTATTCATGAACATTGTCACAACTCTAACTTACTGAAGTTTATGATTTGTGTTTGGTATAATTGATAAATCAAATGAGTTGAATCCATTAATGTTTACTTTGTTAGGAAAGAGAAGAATGTGCATTATAAGATGAAGGAATTTTTAGGAGAATTCTTATTGTTGGGGTTGTTTCTGTCTTCTTTTTTGCAGAAATTTTGGGCTCAATTAGTGAAGATGAAGTCATATGTGATGCTGAAAAGTCACCAACTTTTTTACTACTATGTTTGATGTATCACCATCTTGGATGATTGAAGAGAACTTTTTAATTTGTTTTTGTAATATACTGAATTTGTTAGAGAATGTTATGGATTTAAAGTTGTGTCAATTAGTACTTTTAAATGAAGTGTCTATATGAAACTAATTTTACTTTCATTCTACTGTGTAATTAATTAAATAGAATTTAAATGATGGTGAAAAGTTTACAAATGCTATCAAAGACGTTTCATAGCAGAACTACAATGTTATTTTTTTTGCTTTTTATAGCATATCAAAAGTATTGTGATAAAGTCATTGATGTATTATAGCATTCTATTTTGTGATAACAAAAGAAATGATATGCTTGTGACCTTAGTTTGATAGCATGTGTAAAATGCTATAGTTGACTGATTTTTATAGCAATTGATCAAATGCTATAAAAAGCCTCACACTTTCCATAGCAGCTCCTAGCACAGCATTTCATGCAGTGCTATGGAATGATAACATAGCATATTTTAGATGCTATTGATTAATCAACATGGTGTAGTGAGAGATCCAGTTCATCTAAGTCCAAGTGTTGTCTCAAGTTCTTTACAGTTCTCTTCCACTCAGGGTGCAAGCTCGACAGGAAACATATATTTATCTCCATGTTTGATTTCACAACTTTGATCTTTCTCATCTCGTTGATTAGTTGTACAAATCTGTTATACGTTTCATGGAGCGCCTCCCCTGGTGCAGCTTTGAATGCATCGTAAGCAATTAAGATGTTTGCTTTCTTAGTCTTCAGTCCAAGATCAGTTCCAATCATCAGCTTCTTCACTTCATCCCACATCTCTTTGGCAGTCTCCATACTATCAATCAGAATGTAGATGTCATTTGGGATTGCTTGTAGCAAGAATGTTTTAGCCATGAGATCAGCTTTGATTCTTTGTCTATCTTCTTCAGTGTATTCAGCTTTTGTCTTCAATCTTCGTTCCTGATTAACAGGTGGATTTCCATCACTCCCATTCACACTTGCCCAAATCTCAACGGGTCCTTGGGTGAGGGATTCCAGCATTGCAGAAGAGTTATCTTTACTTTCCAGAAAATTTAAGAATCTTATTCTCCACATCTGGTATTCACCTCGCCTCAGAATTAGGGGCCTACTGTCATTACCAAGTGATAAAGCATCCATCTTTGCTGTTTGATTTTAAGAAAGACCGTTCGAGTGTTTAGATCAGATAAAATTAAAATTTTTTACTGCAGAATGTCGAAAACCTAATTTTCAGGAACAAGTTTGAGAAGGGGGTTCGAGAACTTCTATCGAGAAGCAGTTTTCGATATCTGATATCGAAAACCTTGTTATCGAGAAGCTAGGTTCGAGAAGCTGCTTTCGAAAAGTCAGTATCGAGAACTTAAGTTAGGGAACTTAAGTTCGAGAACTGAATGTCGAGAAGCTGTATCGAAAACCTGCAAACGTGAAAACAAGATATCGAGATATGAAATATCAAAAACTGAGTATCGAGAACAGAAGCTCGAGAACTCAGTTCGAGAACCTATGTCGAGAAGTCAGTATCGAAATCCTGCAAATAAAAAAATCAATTTTAAGCAGATTAAACAGCTTTTCTGTGAAGTCCTTGATCTCGAGAACCTTTCTGAACAGTTTGAAGTTCAAAAAACCTGCAGAAACCCCGAGAACCCTGTTTTTCGATATCAAAATATTGAGAACCTCAAATCTGAAAACTTATCGAAACAAAAATCTAAGATATACTGTTTGCTCGTATTTGAGAGATGATTTCAGCAGTACATCTTTTACACTTTTTCGTTCAAAAATGAGATTACAACGATTAAAAGAGTAAAATGTCGAAAAGATGAAAAACAGGGGACTTCGATAACTTTTTCTTCGTCGATCACACTCGAACCTGGCTCTGATACCAGTTGTTGGTCCCAGTTTATGCAGACTAACATTCAGCTAGATGGACATCATCGATAAACAGAGAAGAAAGATTTCACAGAATGATATAGAGATTATCGAGAACAGAGAAAACTTTCTTTCTATTGTATCGAGAAGAATTTTGGCAGCGTAAGGCTAGAGTGTATTAATCGATATCGGAACCTGTACAGAACGCGCATATTTATAGGCGCTGTACAGGTTACCGAATTAGGTAAACCTTGGGATTTGGGCCAAGGCCTTTTTGGGCCTTATTCCCTTTAACCCATTTATTACAAAATGATTACTAATCTAATACCATAAATGGTATATCTAGTCTACTTTATTAAACAAGACATTACAGACAAACTTGACTCACAATAAAAGTTCTAACACTTCTCCGGCTTCATCTGAAGTTTTCTTTTCTAAGCCCATGCAGCACCAACCCGTTTTGGGTTTAGTTTAGACAGGGATTTTGATTGGTGCGAGTATTTGTATAAATTCAGCTTTTCGGTAAAGTTTAATTGCTGCATGTACATGTATATATTCAGATATGGAGAAACTTTAGTTGTTTCAATTTGAGTGTGATATCATTGTTAGAGTCATTTCATTCTTTGTACATGATACTTTCATTTCATACCTAGAAGATTCAACGTTCATTTTGAACTTCATTTTCTCTGGCTCAGAATATTGAGTACCGGCTAATTGAAGCACAGCTAGTTGTTAGAGAAGCTGATTGAAGAGCATGGTGATTGGTGAAGATCTATTTAGCATTGTATAAGAGAGTGTTCTCAATGTCGTCTTTCTGGCTGCATAGTTGAGTTTGTAAGCGGTAGAATATATACTTTTTATGACAGAAACAAAAGTTTTTTATTGCTTTAATTTTGATGGTTCATGTTTTGCGCTCGGTTCGTGATTCGAATCCATATGTGACTATTTCTCTTCAAAAAACTCAATAAAAGTACAACTACAAATAGTAGTAAAAGTAGTAGTAGTAATGATGATGATGATGATGATGATGATGATGATGGTGATGTTGATAATAATAATAATATTAATAATAATAATAATTATAATATTAATAACGATGATGATGATGATAATAATAATAATAATAATAATAATAATAATAATAATAATAATAATAATAATAATAATAATAGTATTATTAGTAGTAGTAGTAGTAATAACAACAACAACAATAATACCATCAACAACATCAACAATAATAATAAGAGTTTTTTCCTAAAATATTTCTTATTAAAAATTTAAAGAAAAAAATATGACTATAGGTTACTATGAATAAATTTATAGTCACTACAATGTAGTATTTGAATATAAAGGGGTTACATGGGTATCATGTGGGATTATTATGAGTGGACCATAAAAACTTGGGATTATTACCAATTTTTACTTATTATTACGGAGTATTACTTGTTGTTGTTGTTGTTGTTATTATTATTATTATTATTATTATTATTATTATTATTATTATTATTATTATTATTATTATTATTATTATTATTATTATTATTATTATTATTATTATTATTATTATTATTATTATTATTATTATTATTATTATTGTTGTTGTTGTTGTTGTTGTTGTTGTTGTTGTTGTTGTTGTTGTTGTTGGGATAATGGGCCAAGCCCAGTGCCATCAGCACGTTATCCCCAATATTAGGCCCAACTAGGCCCAGGACGCGGTCTCATGAGCGGGAATCGTCACTTGCTCATTTACTTATTTATCG